TCACTCAACTTCTCCGGCACTGGCTTGACTGAAGTTGCCGTCTGACTTGATGCCCCCACACATTCCTCCCAGCTGTTCCGACAGCCACCGTCTTCGGCCCCGCCCCTCCTCAGAGGATCCGGATCTCATGGCCCGGGGAAGCGGCTCCCCTCTGAGTATTGAAGTGTGTTTTTCAGGGCGTGCGCCACGCAGCGAGAGGGGGGGCTTTGCGGTCCCCGTCTGTCCGTCAGGTGCCGCTGTTCACAGGCAGGCAGCCGCGAGCCTGACGGGAAGGTGCAGCAAGTGGCTGTATCCCGCTGTAAGCCGGGATGTGAAGGTTTAATGGGTTAACTGGTGAGCTTCACTTGGCCCGTGTAGGGTGGTGCTCCCCGGCGAGCTAGTTAACCGGTTAACCTTTCACATCCCTCACCTGACCAGCTTGATATTCTTCACTGCGGCCTCCAGGCCAGGCTGTGCACCTCATGCGCGTGCTTACGGAGTTACGCTGCCGACGGGCCGGGCTTCGGGGTGCAGAGTGAAAGTCCGTGAGGCTGCGATTGCCGCCTCACGCCCTCTGTGCGCAACACAGCGTGTCCATATCCCGCTCTGTGTGCGCGCCTACGTAGGTGCGGTATTCCTGACCAGCCCGTGCCTCGTGTGCCCTGCCCTTTCAGCCACTCACAGCGGGCCGAACCCAGTGTCCTTCTACCCGGGGGTCGTCCTGCCCAGCGGCTCCAGGGCTGGAATCACTCGAGGCCGGGCGAGTCGGGCCGGAACCCCTCCCGCCGCCGCGCTGTAGCGGGCCTCTCGGGCCAGGAAGTGCCTCGTCCCAGCTCCCCAGCCCGTGTGCTCGCAGGAGAGTGTGTGGAAAGGGAGCTCTTGAGAGGGGACGTGGCCTGATAAGGAGTTGCGCCGGCTGTGGGGAGACCAGCTGCTCGGGGCAGGTGTGGGGGTGATGGGTGGTTCCTGGTGCATCCGCTCCTGGACCCGGCGGGAACGGAACCCGGCCCTTTGGCTGCTTAGCAACCAGGCGCCCCAAACCTAGTGTGTGCGCAAAGTGTGGGGGGGAGGTGTGTTCTCTCCTTCCCCCTCCCGCCGTCCTCTTCCCCTTCTCCCTCCCCTGTACCTCTTGGTGTGTCTCCCTTTCCTTACATCCCCTCAATTCCCTTCCCTTTTGTGGGGGGGACAGTCTAGCAACGAACTCCTGGCTGGCCCTGGTTCTGCGCCTCTTGGCGCCCCCGTGCAGTCGCCTGCGTAAAACAGATGTCCGATGCCTTCTGCTCCGGGGTTTGTGGGCTGTGTCCATTGCTCCCAAGGTGCGAGGCGGCGGGGTCTCGCCTGCCCTGGCTTCAGAAACAAAGCCAGGCCGCACCCACCCCCTTCCTGCTGCGGAGGCAGGGCCCTGATCCTGATGTAGCGTCCCCAGCAGGGCTGAGCCGGCATGAGCTCGCCCTGACTCAGCATTGCGTCTTCTGCCCACCCAGATGTGCTGAGCACAGGCCTGGGAGTTTCCCTCTTCCTGTCCCTGGAGCCAAGGAGTTGCCGGGGCGTTCTAGCCAGGAGAGGGATCCAAAGCTAGACATCCTGCCTCTTACAGTTTTTTCAGCCCGGGGGGAGCCCTGTCAGCTGACTCCTCTCCTTGTGTTCCCCGCCTGCAGGTCCTGCAGAAGCTCGGCAAAGCGGACGAAACAAAGGATGAGCAGTTTGAGCAGTGCGTGCAGAACTTCAACAAACAGCTGGTAAGCGCATGGGAGAGATGTAATTACACCCGGCGCCTTAACCCTGCAGGGATTGGTGGAAACGAACGTGCAGTGACGGCGCGTACAAATGAAGTTACCCACCCACGTGGAAGCCCCCGGCTGTACATATGCAGCAGATCACACTAATCTCTTTCTTAATTTCCTTGCCATATGGCAGATAACATTGTATGGCAAAGGGCAGGTTTGGAGCCAACGTTAAGGTTTAATAAAATCTGATCGGAGTAGCAAGATTTCCGTATTTTCCCATCTCTTATCAGCTCAGTTGAACCATTGTGGTTTGCTGCCTGCTTTCCTCCATCAGGGCTGGAAATCCAGCTCACCAGTGGTAGTGCCAAAGAACGGGGAAGTGAAACTGACTAGAAACAAAACCTACCATTAACCACTCGCTGTTCTAAGCCGAATGAAGTGCCAAAGAGTAAACAAACTGCAAAAATGGTGGAAGGAAACATACTGCCGAGGCTGAGCAAGCCTGAGCATTGCTTCCTTTTTGTATCTGCTTGCTAAGTCCAACCAGTCCTTCATGTGTGCAGTATTAAATGTTTCGCCCTTTTTGTATTTCAACGAAATATATTTCTATTGCCACAGCACCTAGCATCCCATTGTGCCCCGCCCTGTTCAAACAGCACAAAACTCAACATGCGGGGGCAGTTTGGGAAGAACCCCCCTCGGTTTGTAGGCTTTTTATCCAGAGCTGTCAGCACCTGGTCTCTGCCCGGAGCGTGTTGACACAGAGATGGGAAAATTAGAGCTAAAATTGGAGCGATTTTGGAGAAGAGAAGCTAATGGATGCAGGGGCCGGAGGGAGTGTCTTACGAGGAAAGGGTGAAATAGCC